ACGAGAATTTTCAACCACCAGTGGGTTATTTAACTAATTGCAAATATTATAGGCATATTAGAAAAAAAGGGTATTAAAAAATATACTATACAACTGCTTCGACTGCGGATAGGCAGCTGGTAAACAGGTTACACGATGATCCTTTAGTAACAGTTGATGCAAATTCTTTTTAGGGAAAAGTACGTTCCTGTATTAGGAATATCAACGGTTCCATAAAGCAATTCATTCAACAAAAAATGTACTTGTTTTAGTAGGGTTGGAAAATCTTCATAACTAAGAAGATTGTTGAACTCAGGGACTATACCGGTTAACGTATAGCAACAAGCGGTCTCATCCTTTGGTATTTTCACTGGAATTTTTTAATATAACTCATGAATATGATGTGATATAATACAGAGAAATACTCTTATTTGGAACATCAGGGTCAGAGACAACCACCTGTTCCAGTATACACACACTTAAAAATTTAACGACTTAGGATGATAGTCAATTCTTTGGTGGTCATTAAAATATATTTATCTACTGCCTTCTATAAAATACCTAATGACACACCGATCTAGCGTGCGGGAAGCCTCACTTCACTACGTGAATTTAGTTTCTTACGGATCAGAGCCACTTCGGACATTTCTGGGATTTTACCACGTGGGTTCGGAAGCAATCGGATGTTTTCAGGGACATTTTCCACGCCTTGAATTATGACGTTTGTCAATTCCGATGATCATGGTTATTAACCACTCTTTCCGCTGCACTCCGCGAAAATGTACCCAAAAACTAACGGTCGTAGAAAAAGTATAGTATGCAACCCGTTTGGTAAACTTTTTAAGTTACTCGTTTAAGTCGCTCAAATAGACTCGTGAGTGAAATGACGTTTACCGCACTTGTTGCATAATATACTATTATTACATTATATTCAAGCCGAAATTATTGTATTCTTCAATTCCTCTTAAAATTCTAATAGGTGCTGTTAATTTCGAAGTCTAATCTTTTAATAAGTTAATTAATTAAAATAACCCCTTTTTTGTACGACATTGTGGGCGTTTTGTTACGTATATTTGAAGTAATAAACCCAAATTGACAGAGAGATCGAATTACTGAAAAGCATGTAGCACAATGTTTATGATTGATCTTATCGAAGGCTTTCATAAAATCAGTGTAGAGCACCACTTGATACATTCTTTCTAAGGATGTAGCAATCAATTTTGTTAGAGTGATAAGATGTCTTTCATCGATTTGGCTATTAATTGGGTAATAAATGGCAGTGTGAATGGCCGCCTCAAAGCGTTCAGAAAAGTTATTAATGATAGCCATTTCTCTGATGTATTATACTACACGAACGATAGACGTCTCTCACATTTTAATTACGATCAGGACGAGGGTAGGAAACAGTTGCTTGCCGACGAGTGACATTTAAATTTAATACTGGACAACGTTAAACGTCGCGGCGTCATATTTCTGTTCTTGAATGAGAAATGTTTCATTGCAACCGCGTTGTTTCCGGTTTCGGACCCTCGCGGCAAGGCGAGAAGTTGCTTAATTATGAGTTGTCGTCTTCGAAACCATTTCGTGGAAAGACCTGACTTGGGTTGAACTCTAATCGGTTGACGGGGGTGGCTAATACTAATAGCTTTGCTCGTTTAGTAACATTATGTGCCCAGTGGGCTTCGATTGTTGACAAGGGATAATACTAAAAGCCCATCCAGATTTTGTTCCTTCGTCCTCCTTTATTTATTTACTTTACAAACTGCACAAGTAGTCAGTTACAGACTTCGACAGCTTCGACGATAAAGAGTAATTTAATATATTCTTAGATAATATAAGTATATTAGTACAGAAATTGTTGTCTCAGTTTTGATTTGTGAGTGAGTTAGGACGATATTGAGAAAACTGAGAAACAGTAGAGATTGAAAAAACTGGAATGCTTTTGATAATTGAAATCTTAATATTCATTGATATTGAAGTAAAGGAAAACAACATTACCAACATTATTACTTCTGGAATTTGCAAAATCTCTACATACGTCATTGAAGAAGCAATTTAATTCAATATAACATGCTTATATTATAAGATCTGTTCGTTGATTAGTATTTTTTAAATATTTCTTCCAAATAGATTGCGCTTCATATCATTTATATCACCTAATATTTCAAAAGAAATTTATCATGTAATTCTGTATTGGCATTGACCTATTCCATAACTTTTTTTACATTGTAGTGCCCCTGTATACCTGAGTTAAAATTAAGGCAACAAAAGAGTCGAAGTTTACCAACAGCTTTAAGCACTTGCGAATGTCTGAAGCCAACTGTATGAGAAAAACGATCAATATCATCGACGGCATTCGCAATCTGTCTCTTCCAATGTAAACGTCCGCCTGTCTAAAACCCGTCCGACTAAAAACCTCTTAAGTCGAGAAATTGGATTGAAACGGGCAACCAATACTGGAAGTCGGACACGTCTTTTCTCATACTAGATTGGAGCTGTTTGCCAGGCAATCACGTGCTGTGCGTGACGGCATTAATCTGGGCGAATTTCAGCGTTCGTCTTCTGAATGAGACATTTTTCGGTAATTCCGTTTAAATGAAAGGTCTTCACTGAACGGTGACGATTTTTAGCATTTTTAGTATCGTTTATATATACGTAAGCACAGGGTATTGGAGACTCAATAGAGTTCAACTAAAGATACCACGGACCAAATAAGTTTCCATCTTAATATTCCTTAGCGAAAAATTTATGTTTTTTTACTTTTTTTTTCTTGTATTTTTTTATGAACAAATTGAAATGAATATACAAACTCTCTCTATAGAGGAGAAATAAACTTATCTTTTTGTATCTTTTTGATATTCCGTTTTGTTTTCTATAATAACGACTTCATTGCATGAAATAATTTTGTATTTTAATAATCCGCAATGTTAATGGTTTGGGGAATACAGGTTATTGAATTTTGGAATAAAATTTCTCCTTTAAATTTTTAATTATTGACATACCAGTTCTTTTTTTGTTATAAAGAAAGAAATGAATCTTCCTATAAGAAAAATATGTTTGTAAATAAAAGTTTTTGAATTTCCTAATGTTTCTGATAAAAATGATTTCATTCAATAAAAACGTAAGTTTTAAGTTTCTTAAAGACACAACAAAACTATTAAATAAGAACTTTTAATCTAGGTATGTGAGTAATGTAGTTGTTGGAAATGTACATCATTTACTTGTGAATCTTTTTCTATTTTTTTTCCGGTTTATCTATCACCCCCATTTGGCGAATTGGTATTTAGCTCAGCGTTATAAGAATGTTCTCAGTCCTATTCAGTTAAGAAAACTATTGCACACCTCTCTAAATACAATTAAGTAGTAATGAACTAATACTTATCAATAGCAAGCAATTTAAGCATAAAAATATTTACATTAAAATTCAATTGAATACAACATTGAACAAGTAAAGAACGCGCCTGGAGTACACACCATAACTTATGCGTGATAAGTATCTTCGGACACCCTCTTGACAACTTCTTGATCAGTACCGAATGCCTTTAGTGACAACAGACATAGACTTTCTGGGCACCGATTATTCAACAAACTTTGAAATCGTCCCATTCCTACAGATTTTGTTTACTCAAAAATAATCTTGCGACCTCAATAATATCGTATCTAGAAACCGTCTAGTATATCGAAATTCTTCAGCCTTCTTTCAACTCCAAACTAAACCTTGAACTTATTTGCGCTCTAACCAACCCACTCAATGGAAGTTTCGTTTACATTTTCCATCTAAACTTAATAAAATTCGCGCATAACTCCTCGATCTAAGTAACAATCTAATTACTAGGTTGCCGGAGCGGCACTGCTCGACAGAAGGTCCCAAGTTTTCCGAAAAGCTCACATCTACTTAGGAAATTTGCGGAGCAAACGCTTTGCACATGAAGTTAAACTTGCACGTCATATTAAGCTCACTTATAATATAGTCGGCAACTTCGCTTAGGGGTTGAGGTTGCCGGGGGTGAGCACGCGGTTATTGGCTGTAGTTTTGTGGTTGCCAGCATAATAGCGGGTTAATATCTTAATGTAGCCGTGTACTTCAAGTTCTATATTTGCGGCTCGAGGACTTGGATGAAAATTCGAACCGACTACTTAACATGAGGAGTTTTTTTCTAGAGTATTTGGTTTATTTTTATTCTTTCTAATTCGCTTCGTGCCAAAACCCGAAAATGACTTTTTTAGCAACCCCACTTGCTCCCACTTCCCATGCTAATATATGCTTTGCTAATATATGTGATTAGTAGGTATATAACTTGAAATTGGATTAAAATTACCCGGAAGAGTAAAAGCGCGTATTTTGGATAATTTATGAGCTGTTACCACCACAATCTCGCACACAAATATTAACAAATTTGAATATGAACCTCGACGAGGCTGCGTCAGTGTTATATTTCTAAGGTTAATAGAACAATCGGATAGTTCAGCTATGGCCTTAGTTATGACTTCAAAAACTTTTTAAACAGCAATTAAATAAAATTTCGTTCCAATTTTATGGAAAAGTTTCGAAGTTGTGTTCCATAAAAGAACACCGCGGTGTTTTGTCTTCGAAAGGTCGAAATGTTTTAAGAAAACTTGAGAACAATTTCGGCAACACTGACAGTCTCTCCTTTCAGCGTCGAAGCGACTTCACTTTGCAGTTGAAACTTTGAAAGGATAAATATTTGCATTGTATTAACATTCCAGCTTTGATAATAAAACCATAATGGTTCGAGCAATATCTCGGAGCTCTCGTTCCCGCGAACGGTTATTTTCTTTGACAATTTTAATTAAAATTTTTCAAGCGCGAACGCAAACGCTAACGCGTTTTTAAATATCAAAACGTAACTTTATTAAAAATTTGTCCGACTGACACGACTATGTTCGTACGTTGAAACAAGCTGTTTCTTCAGCGAAGGATGTGCCAAAGAGAACTCCATCTTAAATGAAAATGCAAGATTTGTAAATACTAATGTGAAGATTCGAGCAAGATGACTTACCAGCGGGACTTTCTTCGATCCAAAAGGATTCATCCAGGGTGTAGTCTGCTTCTGTAAAAAGAAAAACAGGTAACTATGATTGCTAATGCTAGCAAATGTAAAAGTAGACCCATAGGGTTAAGAGAACGGACTGATTAGTTTACTACATTCGCTCATGTCCAAACTGTTTTGAAAATAGGGTAGGATTCAAGTTTGAGTTTCTGATTCTCAAAAACACGGTATGAGTTTTGACATATTTTTATTTTGTGTAATAATAGTGTCAACAATTTCGGATAATTATATATCCTAATAAATAAAGAATTGTATTTTACTTTCCTACCTACTATGCTATGGAATGTGCTAACGAACATGTCTGACAATCTTTAACCACGACTTCAATGTGTGAAAGGAATGCACCTGCGGAACCATGATCACGATTTAGAAAACATTATAAGAAATAATGTGGAAAGAGACGATGAAACACACTGGGTTTAATTAACATAATAGAATACAATACAACAATACGAAAAATCAACAAAAACATCTAAATCTGGTGGGTAACCAGGATTCTACGGTGCTTTGGTGGAGTACTTGCTTTGGTGGTATTTATACGTTTACATAGGTCTTGATTGCGTATTATGTGTAGAATGCGTTTACCTTCCTCCTTTTCTTTCGATTGGTAACATTGCTAACGTTTCCATTAGAGGAAAAACTTTTTGCAATAACTGAAAAAAATATTGCATACTTTTACACATGTCAATAACTAATTAGTTTTTAGAGAGCTTTTTAGAGATTAATTTTTAAGATTCTGCGTATCAAGAATTTAGTAATTAAAATGGTTACCACCAACTAAAAGTGGTTTATAAAAAACAGGTCGATAATACCCTTCACAATCCTTAACCGCTGGGTGCTCTTCGTAATGGCTCGTATTAAAATTTCAAATAAATGTTTATGATATTTTTCGGGAATATCGAAGTAGTTTGAGAAAATTGATCTGTTATGAATTTTATTATATGGAAGTTAGACTATTAATAATTTATACTTCTTGGGAAAGCATACCTACAGGTAATGGCAAATAATCAAGGTGTTGTTCAGGTCATACATACCACCCGAACTACGTTTGTTTCCTAAGAATTTTATTACTCTATTAAAAAAATATAAATTAGAAGTATATCTGTGAAGACTATTTGAAATATGCAGGTTTTACTAACCGAAACTAACAGGTCCAGTGTGGTATAGTTGTTTTTCATAAAATTATTGTCTTATCATTTCCAAGAAATGTAAAAATTTACTGAAACAAAATTATGAGCTTATAAGCGCTTGCCGTGCCCAGGATATAAAAATGGCAACTATAAAACTTCAAGTAATTTGTTTGAATGTGAAAATGTTTTATAACATAAAGGTGTGTAATGTGGGAACAGATTTTCTAATAAAACAATTTTATTTACACAATGGCCTGAAGAAATAAAATAAATAAATCAAAACAGCCAATCAAAAGAACTGAAAGCCATATATCAATCTTTTCATTGATCGTGATCTTCCTTCCTCGTGCGTAATTTTCGAGTTTTAGTTGGATTTATTTGATTTTATTTCTTTCATTGATATGCGGCACTACCTGAGCATAATCGACGCGCTTTTCGGTAGCTCCGAAACAATCACTTTAATTGACTACGGAATTCGGGGAATTCCGATAATAGTATTTCCTAGTTAAAGTTCGATATTAGGTGTTCTGGCGCGAATACGTTTTAGCATTTTACTCAAACTTTTCTCATTTGACTTATAACTTTGTTTTGAGGAGCGATCGCGAATATAATTTAGTGGAATGTTTGTCTTCGAACTTGTCCGCGTTTGGACAGATTCTGTGCCGAATTTTACGTTTTTCTGGGTGACTGAAGCGGTATCATTTTTGGAAAAAAACACCTATAAATTGTAATACTGTACAGTTCATCCCAAATTCGTACAAATTTGTAACTTTGTATCTTTTGATCTACTTTTTTAAGAGAAACTTTAGTGGGTTGAAGTTTAAATGCATTTTGAAAGTGTACCTCGATAGTCTCTTCAGATATGGAGAAGGTAAAAGCAGTATTTTATAAACATATTTATGCAGAATTCAATGGAGTGCAGAAAAAAAAAATAGTCTGCAGTGTTAAGTTTTGCAAAAATTTTTAAAATTTTATTTACGTCTAGCATAGAAAACAGTAGCTTTTTGTGATATATCGTTGAGAAAAAAAATTGTAGACAAAAAAATACTGTGCACTGAAAATTCTAAATAAAACCTTCTATGAAAAGCTGCTTTCTCCTTATTTTATTATATGCTTCAAAAATGTCCAAATATAAGTTGCGTCATTAAATTTTTCATAAAAATAAGTAAAACTTTGAAACGTGTTTAATACCAATATCCGACTAAAATACTTTTGAAATAGCATCATTTCTTGTTGAATATTTAAATGCTTTGGCTATAAGATTATTTGACTTACGTCATTGTAACTTTGTCCCTTAATAAATATTTTTTTATAAAATTTCACCAAATTAATTAGACCATATTTTAGCAAAGCAATGAACATTAATATTTCACACATTTTCCCATTGTTGATGTTATCATTTCGAAAAAGCGAATTGCAGTCTTTTTTCTTGCCCTTAGAAGAAGTGGGTAAAAGATGTATTTTTAAATAAATAATTTAGCTTTTTCCTCATACCCATATATCCACAAAAATATTCACTGTGTTGTTAACTTCTAACTTGTGATATTTTATATGTCATTACAGTGTTTTACATCCTCGATTTGTGAACAACTTCTGATGGTTTTCGGTTTGTCTTACGATTCCACTTTCTGAAGGTTGGAGAACTTTCGGCTCAAATTCTGAAAGACCCGACTTCTTCACGCCGGCACTTAAGTCATGAGTTTGATTTATCCTGAGCTGAGTGAGTGTTTAAAAGGCGAGTGAGTAAGAAAGAAGAATCACGGGTACACGGTACATTTCAGCAAGATAGCACCAATGCATTGCATGCCCTGTTACGTGATTAATAGAACTGACAAACATCAAAATACCACTATAAAACTATCGAAAACATCCGACCGCTCCAATAATAGCGGAAGAAATCTCAGACCATCTTGGTTCGAGCTTTTCTTTAAGGACTCAAATCTTATCTAACCAACCAATATGCAGCTTGCGCATCGTCTGGGAGGAAGACAAGAGCCTCACTGCGTTGCACAAACAATACATATTAATATTATGGATATTAGATGAGAGTGCCCGTAGTGTCTAGGCATATTGCGTGAAATCCCCGTCGTCTCACTGGTCGATTCATCTGGGGAAGGCCACTCGTTAACGCGGAGTTGTGGGATCGTAATTGGTATGCAGCTGTGGGAGTGCCGGAGACAATTGTCAAATCGTGAATGACTTTCCTTAGGGTTTCGCGAGCGACCGCATTAATTGGAGGTAGCGGCATATCCCGCAGAGTATTTATCATAAGACAATTACAAATTAGTAAATAATACCGCGACGTTGCCGGAGCGAGAAGAGGATTACGCTTTGCTTCACACCGAATAATGCGGATGAAAGTTAGTGAGTTGAGAAAAAACGTTTATCTAAAGGGGTTGATAATATTCAACAAAATATCAGAATGATATCGGTGGTTAAATGATATCTAGGATGGTGAGAAAGATATGATATTTTTTTAAAACTTCGACCGTCTACACGAAAAAAACAAAATATTTTCAAAATAAATAAGAACTAAAAGTTCAGATTTTCACGAAATTATATATTTTGACATGACAATTGTCTCGACAACACCCTGTCTTTATCAAATGTAATATTAACAAACTACTTGCAACTATATATACCGAAAAATGACCATAAAATCTTAATTAATGTTGTTGTGAGAATTTAAGTTCAATAAAGGAGAGGTATTTAAATCTAATTGATCGTTAAGCAATACATTTGAATGTCTCATTTTGTTAATCTCCATGGCTTCCAATAAATTTGATTTTCTACTTTTTGTGGCTGTAGGTAAAATATCAAAACTGGACCCAAAATCTCAAAAATCAGGTGTCTACAGGTTGAAATGCGGATCTTGTCCTAAAATTTATATTGGACAAACAGGTAGATCCGTCAAGAAACGCAAACGCAAGCAAAAGCAAAAGTCTAACCTCTAATTATGTTACACACTTAAATATAGAAAACACATTTTTGACGTTTTTGAAGTTTGTAGATTGATATTGAGGATATCCTGGATTACCTCATCGTCTAATGCGCCATACAGAGTTTTGATAATAGTAATACATAGGTTTTACAAATCACAATGGAAATATAAAAATTACCGTATCTGAAATCTGCCCATTTCTACCAAACCTTTGACTAAATTACCGGAGATTCAAGCTTCGGCAAAACTCCTTTTGAAGTCGACGGAAAAGCCATTTTGATCACCCAGCAACCTCACAACGTATTTGTACCCATTTCTTTCTGCAATTATATGCTTGACATACCCCAGTACATTTTTGAACATGTTGATCAAAATTCAAATCTGCGGAAAAAATATAAGCAAGTGTAGGTAATAAAATCTCGTAAAACACAAAAAAAATCGACCGTTGGAAGAAATTCACAACCGGCGTCAGTCTGACCTAAAATAAGTGCTGCGATTTGTCGAAAGGAAAATCCTCCGCGCATAATATTCAGTATCGAATCCAGGGAATTCATTTGAATAAATTTGGCGGGATTTGTTTGCCAAGCGGTATTGGCAGGAATCGATTCAATCTACACACTGTTGCTGGTCGCGTGGCTGTTTAAGAAAAAAAGCCTGATCAGACTACGGTCGGTCTCTAAGGGATTTAAGAGGTTTCCGAACTAAACGTTTCCCCCGGAAAGAAATTGGATTTTTTGTTGAATTGTGCCGATATCTTTAATTTCACATAGTGGAAAATATATGTTAGAGGCGAAAATATGATCGTTAGGCGCCCTGCCGTTTAAGAATGTTTGAAAATTTTGGAATCGACATGGTTTGTTTATTTTTTTTAAATATGGTGCAAATTAAATATCGCCGTTCGATGTTGAATAATGCTTAAGTGGAAGAAA